CCCTCTTCCTGTGGAAGGGAGGCTGGGTGTGGGAGGGAGGGTGGGTGTGGACGAGGCCCGCTGACTCGGTGGAGCTGGCTGCCTTGACCCCTCTTCCACGCCTCTTCCTCCCCCGCCCGCCCCGTGCTTCTCCCCTTCCTCCTGGAGGAGCGGTGCGTGGCCCGAGGGCCCAGGACGAGAGCGCTCTGGATACCTGTCCCGGGGGGGGCGCGCTCTGGCCAAGCAGGCCCAATGACGCACCGGGCTGCTGCGGCGCGCGGCCCGCTGCTGGGCCGGAGCGGGACGGCGCAGGCCCAACACAAGCCGATCCTCGGACTCCAATCCAGGGGCGGAACGACGAGGTCGCAGAGCTCTGCGCCTGCGCGCGCGCGCGCACCCGGACGGCCTGCACCGCCCCGACGTCGTACACGCCCGACACGCCAAGGAAGCCCCTGAAGCTGGAGGGCGCCCAGCCGCGGCAGGCCTCCTCCAGAGGGCTCGCCTCGGGGCTCGGCCCTCCATATGGGGGGGGGTCCTCCTGCTTCTGCCCCGCTGGTTCCCATGCCCTCGAGATCCTGGAGCCTTCTGGGGTGGCGCGGCCGGGAGTGAGAGGTATGGGGGCGAGCGGGGGGCGTGTGTGTGTGTGTGTGTGTGTGTGTGTGTGTGTGTGTGTGTGTGTGTGTGTGTGTGCGTGTGTGTGTGTGTGTGTGTGTGTGTGTGTGTGTGTGTGTGTGTGTGTGTGTGTGTGTGTGTGTGTGCGTGTGTGTGTGTGTGTGTGTGTGTGTGTGTGTGTGTGTGTGTGTGTGTGTGTGTGTGTGTGTGTGTGTGTGTGTGTGTGTGTGTGTGTGTGTGTGTGTGTGTGTGTGTGTGTGTGTGCGTGTGCGTGTGTGCTTGTGTGTGCGTGTGATTTTGGCTTCGGCTTCCCCTTCCCCGTCGATCGGCCCGCCGTCCCTCGTGCCCCGTCCGTCTCCTCCCCCTCCTCCGGCTGTCGGCTGCCGCTCCTCGCCCACTGCCTCTCTTGCCATCGCTCGGACGTCCATTCCTCGTGTATTTTTCGATTTCGTGCGTGCTTTTTTCGCTAAGTCACCCAGGATGCTCCTCCATGGTCCTCGACGAGGAAAAAATGCACACGTCCCAGCGATGCCAAGTTCTCTCTTCACTCTGCTTGGCCCTCCTTGCCCCTTGTCGCCCTGACCCGGCTGGCGGGTTTTCGGCCTGTACTGCATCGTCCATTGATGTCTCTTTCTGGTTCACCTCGATAAGTCTTTAATTGTAGGCCCCCTCCCGCTGTTTGTTTCGGCGGGGAATAGCACTCGTCTCTCCTCTTCCGCTTGCTCTTAGTGCTCCTGCTCCTCTTTTCGCGGCGGGTGTCGCGGGTGAATCATTATTTTCCGCTATTGCTGGGGCCCCAATTCGTCGAAGAGGGCGTCGAAACAATAATTCGTTTCCAAAGTTTTGGGGGGCTCAAAAGACCCATCTCGGTAAGCCCAGCTTCGCTCGCTTAGCCGCGCTGTGCCAGTTGTTTGGCCGAGAAGCTCGTCTCCCCGCCCGCGTACGCCCCCCCAAAGGTGTGTGTGTGTGCGCGCGCACTCAGTATTTTATCCAGCGCTCCGGCTGCTGCTGCCCCGACTCTCCATGCCTCGCGCCGCCGCTGACAACAAATGTGCTCTGTGCTTGTCCTTCTCTCGGCTACACGCAAGAGTGACCCCAGGCAAGAATGACCTTTGATGCGCGGCTACACAAGGGACGCGGGGTGCTCTAACTTGGGCGCGCAAGGCGCTGCTACCGCTTCGCGTTTAGCGATCGGGGGACCCCATTGGGCCCGCACCCAAAGTCACTTCGGCGAAAGGCCACTCTTACGTCTACTCGATTGTTTTACGGTCGGGAACTTCTGCGTAGCGTGTCGCGGCGGCGGCCCTGGCGACACGCTGTGCCATGCCTGGTGATCGCGCGTCGTTCCGCTCCGCTCCGTGGGGCGGGAGGCTCGGAACAAACTTGGGACGATGACGCCTGGGAGTGGGGACGTGGATCGCGTGTCGCGCCGAGGCGTGGTGGGCCAGAACCTTCGGAACGACACTCAATCCACAGTTTTTCGACCGCAGGTCTTAGGCCAAAAGTGCACCATAAAGAGCTACGCGCCGTGCTGCAGGTCAACACAAACTCAACAACAAAACGCGACGTCGCAATTCGTTCAGCGTTGTCGTTCGAAACGGTACCCATTCATCAGATACGGCTTGCGCTCAAAACCAACAACGCGGCAAAACAAAACGGACGCTTGCAGAATCGCAACGTCGGGTGGCGTGCACGCTGTGCTCACGCCACCCGATTCGGCAAGGAACGGTTGTGGTCTTCCTGGCCGAGGAGCCGGAAACAACGGTGAAGGCTTCATGGGGGCCTTGCCACCCTGCGCCCCGTGCCGTCTCGGGCGGGCAGCGGGTCGCGGCCGACGTGGTCCTCTCGCCGCTCCTTGACCTGCTTGTTGGGAAGACATCCTCCCTCTTGAACGCTGCGGCGCGTGACATGTCGCACGCCGCCCTCTACGCGCCAGTCGGGCCTAAACGGTGGCGCGTCGCGGCCTGCTCTCCTCTCGGGAGCGGGCCGTCATTCCGCGGCGGCGCTTGTGCGAGGGTGCCCCTCGAAGCGCCCGCAGCGGGCCGACGCGCGCGCAAGGCACAAACGCGCGCGAGGCGGCATCGTCTTTTTACAATCTTCAGGGGGTAGAGCCGGAAGCGCTTGTCGTGCAGCGCTACGAGGGAGTACCTCGGCGACCGTTGTTTCGGAGCGGTCCCTCCCTGCTAAACAGTAGTAGCGCACCGCAGCCCATGCAATTCCAATATCACGTCAAGAATGTGCGTCACCGACGGTTGTGGTCCCGTTTTCTGTTGTGATCCCCGTTGTGGTCATGGATTTTCCCTCCCGGGTTGTAGGGCCGTGTTTCTTCGCACGCGGCCCCCCCATTCATGACATGAATGGGGGGGCCGCGTTCTGCCACGACACATTGTGTCGTGGCAGAACGAACGTGTAGCACCTGTTGCCGTATCCTGGCCATGGCGTACACCATTGGTAGCCAAGTCGTAATTGCAGCCTTCCTGGTGATCTCCGTTGTGGGCCAGCCCGGCCGGCGTGTAAGGCCAGCAGTCGGCGCGCGGACGCCCCGGCGTAGGTCGTTATTGGCAGAACATTCCCGGTAGTGGTGCTCGAGCGTTGGCACGTGTGGCCCGCCGCAATGGTTGCAAGTATTCGAAGCCTCCCTTATTGTGTGGGATTGCAGGAAGGCGTCTGACACAGCACACCTACACAGTACAGCGGTCATGTGTGAAGCCAAATCAGGAGTGGTACGTAGTGCCACCTGGGCGGTCCGCAGTACAGCGGTCGGGAAAGGAACGCCCGCCGCGAGTGGGCTCTCCCAGCGAGTCCTGTTCTATAGCAGGGACCATTCGGTAGATCGGAGGACCAGGCGAAGCTCGTGTAGCTGCTTGTCCGTCCTGTCGGTGAACTGGTGGCTTCCCTGAGGCCCCCATCCACTCCCAGTTGTCGTCCTGATGCGCACCAGTGGTAGCCAGGTGAGCTTTGTAAGCCAGGATCGGTCCCTTCGTTTGCGCATTCGTGACAGCGTGCTCCCAGAATGCGAGGGCATCTTGGCCCTGCCTGCGCAACCGGCATCGGAGTAGTTGCAGGGATCGCCAACACAAGTGGTACCGCACGTCTGCCTGATGCTCCATGAGAAGCATGCGGAGTAGTTCGGGGGCCGCCCTTCTCCACTTCTTGCGGGAGACCACCCGGTCGTGCCAATTGCTGGTGGTTGTTGGTCATAGTCTTCATATGTGGTGTGAAAACCAGCGCCCATGTCGGCACAGGTATTGCTATCGCAGTGAATGCAAACCGTCGTAGTCGTAGCGACAGAGGCGACGAGGCGATACGCCGGAATCGCGCGCACCCTTCCTCGAACTTGCGGTGCTCCCTGTTGGTCAGCCGGGTTGTGTGGAGATTAAGATCCAGGCCCAGAATCTTCATGCTCATCCCAGCCACTTAAGCGGCATCACCCCGGTCTGGGTAGATAGTAAAGCTTTGCGTCTTGGCGTGGCTGATCCGTAAAGCCGTCAGACTTTCTAGGTGGTCCCATTCCTGTTGTATGCGCTGCGTATCCTCTGCTGTGCTGGTCATGGCTGTCCGGTCGTCCGCGTAAGTGCAACACGTGGCGGTCGGCGCTATGGTTCCAATTCTGCGCAGGGGTCCCACAAGAATCGTAGCTATCGCCAGCATAGCGACGGGGTCACCTTGACGCAAACTGCTGGAGACTAGTATTGATTGGTCGGAGAGGATAGGGCCAAGCTCAATCCAGCGTTCCTGGTGCTCCCATATGAGCACAAAGCTGTTGGTGATCCCTTGTGGGGCGCCCAAGTGCCGCCACACCGCGCCGACCAAGCGCGGGGATTTTACAGTCTTCAGCCTTCAGTTTGCCGTCATGCCACCAGTCCCTGCAAGGGCAAGGGCAGGGACGCCGGGGCCGCAGCGCGGTTGGCGCGCCGCCGCGCGCGCGCGCCCTGTGGTCTCCTGGCGCTCACTCCTCCTCTCTCTCTGACCCACGCCCCCTCTTGCCTCTTGGCTACTTCACGTTTTGCTCTTGGGTGCTACTCGCTCTCTCCTCTCTCGACGTGCTCTCGACCCTTGCTGCCCCCTCCTCCTCCTGTCTGTCCAGAGCAGGGGCGAGCGGTGCGCACGACCGCAGACACCCGGCGTCCCACTTTCGTCGAGATGTACATGGGCCCCTGGCCCTCTCGACCGCTTCCCCAGTCGGCTGCGTGCAGCAGTGCCCCTGGGCAGGAGCGACCTCTGGTGCGCAACGCTCGGGGGACCGCGGGGGGTCGACATCCGGGGGATCTTACACGCCTCGTCGACCCCACCTCCTCCTCCTCCTCCTCCTCCTCCTCCTCCTCCTCCTCCTCCTCCCTCCTCCTCCCTCCTCCTCCCTCCTCCTCCTCCCCAGGGCCGACCTCTCATCCTGAAAGCTCTGGTGGCCCGGGGGCCCCAAGACCGGCCTGCAGAGGCGGAGTGTCGCAAAAAAAACGCACCTCTTCACTGTGTTCGAGCCGCTGGGACGCCTGGGCATTCGGGGGGCCCCCGGGCCTTCGCCCCCGCGCACCGCGCCTGCGCCTGCGCCAGCGCGCGCTGCACAAGCAGCAGCGACGACAGGTGGGCCCCAGCGCTCTGCGCCAGCAGGAGCACGTTCGCAGGGTCCCCGCCGAAGCGGGCTACGTTCTGGAAGGCCCAGGTGATGGCGCCCGCGATGTCGTAGACCATGTCAGGCACCGCCCCCTGGGGCCAGTTCCTGGGCCGTTTGGCCGCTCAGAAGGCACAGGGCCCCCCCGAGGACACAGCGGGTCCCGTGCCAGCAGGAGCTCGCGCCCCGCACGGAAGCGCTGAACAACGATATCAAACATAACTGCACGGTAGCGCGTTGCACCAAACTATCAAATCAGACTTCATCCCACATGCCATCGAAACCGCAGGATGGCATATCGCCACATTGTCGATGCTGGAAGCCCTGGGCTCAATATCAGCCATCATGGATGTGTAATTTATGTTGTGCAACATATGTTATGTAATGCTGTGCAACATGTGTGGGGGCAATATGTGTGGTGCAAGATCTGTGGTGCACTATCTGTGGTGCAACCTATGCGGGGCAGTGAATTTCTGCTCGTAGTGAGTTGTCAACTCCACTGCTCGCGCAATCATCCAGCCCACCCGCCCGTAACTTGGTCTGCGAAACCCATGCAGCGGCGACTGCGATGAGTGCTTCGGGTTGGCTGGTGCATCTTTGCGGCTGCGCTAACCCGCGCGTGCTCGCGCGCGCAGCGACCATCTAGTTTGGCGCGACCGACGCGGCCGCAGTGGCGCTGACCGCTGGGCATTTCCCAGCGGGCATTTCAATGCGAGCCGGCGGCTTGGGCGGGAGCGATATCACGTCAACGTCGGAAACGGTAGACACGATGATGGTAATATCCATGTTGGTGACGATGATGACAACGACGACGGCAAGGCCAGTGACGGCGCCGATGCTGATCACGCCGGCGACGTCCTCGAGTCGGTGATGAAGGTTTTGGGCGCCGACATGCGCGCGCTGCCGACGCGCGCGAGTGGCCCGCATGGTATTATTTGGCAGGGGTCGTGCCCCCGCAGCGCGCGCGCAAGGGATTTCGAATGATTCCGACATTCGGCGCGAGAGGCCCATTGGGTCGAATTTAATGAAAATGTTGGAAAAATCTGGGTTTTTCTTAGGAGTTCGCAAACGCGCGAGCGCAGCTTTTTGTCAGGGCACTCGATTTGGACATCTTTACGGAACCGAAGGATTTCCAATGGTTGCGGCATGCGCGCGTGACGACGCGTTCGCGCGCACTTCGTCTCATTTTTTCGGAAGGTCTTCTGGCGACAGCACGCTTGCAGGGGCGTTCGAACGATTTCTACACGCGCGCGAGAGTCACGTTCGGTAGCGCTTTATGACTATATTGAAAAAGCGATGGTTTTTTTCTCATGAGTTCGCAAGTGCGCAGGCGCATTTTTTTGAACGTTCGTGTTGCCACGCCATTATACATACCTGTAATTTGTTTCGGGGCACTGGACTTTGAAATCCTTCGGCCCCGTGGATTTTCGAAAGATTTCGGCATGCGCGCGACGACGCGCGCGTGTGCACGCCGCTCCATGAGTTGCAATGGGTTCTTGCAACCTGATGATTTGTGATCGACGAGTGTGCGCGTATACTGTTTTTGTCCGCACGATGAAGGGGGGCGGCAAAAGGGGTTTGTCTGGGAAGGTATGGATTCGCGCATGCAGGGTGGACGATGGGGCAAAATCGTATGTGAATTGCAAGGCGAAGTGGTGATGCGTTCAGTCTGGGAGTGGAAGTGGGGATGTAGATCCCAATGCTCTGTTTGAAATGAGATTCTATGTTGAGCGATTTGTGTGGCACATTCTGTGTGGTGCAACCTATGTGGAGTGCGGTCTATATGGTGCACTCGGCGTGGTGCAATCTGCGTGGTGCAATCTATGCGGTGCTGTGGTGTAATCGACATTGTGCAATCTACGTAATGCAATAGATGTGGTGCAATGAGTTTCTGTTAGTTGTCAACTCCACTGCTCGAGCAACCACCCCGGCCACCCAACCGCAACTTAGTTTGCAAAATCCACGTGGCAGCGATTGTGATGAGTGCTTGGTGTTGGCTGGTGCATCTCTGTGGCCGCGCTAGCCCGCGCGTGCTCGCGCGCGCAACGTCCATCTAGTTTGGCGCGACCGACGCGGCCGCAGTGGCGCTGACCGCTGGGCGCTTCCCAGCAGGCACGTCGCTGCGAGTCGGCGACTAGGGCGGGTGCGGTATCATGGCAACGTCGGAAACGGTAGACACGAGGATGATAGTAGCAATGCTGGTGGCGATGATGACAACGACGACGGAAAAAAGGCCAATGACGGCACCGATGCTGATTACGACGGCGACGATGGCGGCGTCCTTGCGTCGGTGATGAAAGATGCGCACGCGCGAAAGGCCCGTTTGGTAGCATGTTTTGAACATGGTGAACAATTTATGGTTGTCTTAAGAATTCGCAGGAGCGCGGGCGCAAGTTTGTTTTGAACACCCTTGTCGCGAAACATTGCGTTTTTTTTAAATACGTCTTCGGGGCACTCGATTTTGCAATCCTTGCGACACCTACGGATGTTGAAAGATCTTGGCATGCGCGCGCGACGAGCCGCGCGTGGGGATAAGGTGTACCCCGATCCCCCCACATGGCCACTTTCCAGATGACATCCCTGCTCGGGGTGCCTTTTCCTGCTGCTGGGCTCTTCAAACCAATCTCGGGAGCGCCCTAATGGATTTTCACCCCAGAACCGCTCCAGGGTGATTTTTCATCTGGGACCCCCAATGTAAACAACGAAGCGCACTCGGAGATAAGCGGGGGGCTGCGCCCCAGCCTCATCGAATCTATTGCAAAACCTTAGCCCGAGGCTGGGCAGCCCAGTCTCGGGAGCGCCGAGATGGACCTTCACCCCCCAGCCGTTCCGCTGTGATTTTTCGCTGCAGAAAGGCGCTCTCGGGGATAAGCGGGGGGGGGTACCCCAGCTGGGAAAAACATCGTCGTTTGCCTAAACATATCTCTGATTGCAGTGCCTTTTCTCGCGGCTGGGCTCCCCAACCCAATCTCGAGAGCTCTCCACTCCCTGCGCAAAAGGAGCCCAGTAACGTCTTCTGCGCGGAGCTCAATAAGACCTTCTGTAAGGAGCCCAATGAAGCCTTCAGTAAGGAGCCAAATAAGGCGTTCTGTAAGGAGCCCAATCAGTCCTTCTGTAAGGAGCTCAATAAGGCCTTCTGGAAAGTCTCTCATATTGTTTTTGCGCGCAGAGGGTAATAGTTCGTGATCGGGGCCGCCATGCATGCCACTGTCGCAAAACATGGCAGGAATGACACTTCCTCGACACAAGAGGGGGCGCGCAAGGGGTGGTCCTCGAGCGGGGCCTGCATGCGTACCAATGTCGCAAAGTGTGGCAAGAGTGGCAGTTTCACGACAACAGAGGGGTCCGCAAGGGATGGTCTCTGAGCGGAGGCGCTACGCGTGTTAATGTCGCTAAGAGTGGCCGGAGTGGCACTTTCTTTACACCAGAGGGGTCCGCAGGGGGTTGGTCCCTGAACGGGGCCGCTATGCGTGCCAATGTCCTAAGGCGTGGCAGGAGGGTCGCTTTCTCGACACCAGAGGAGGCGCCGCAGCACAGCTTGCCAAGGCTTCGGAATTCAGGAACGTGGCTGGTGGTCACCACGCGAGGCTGAGGAATGCACCCTATGGAGTGCAGTTCGAGGCGCGCAATGTACTGGGCGCTTATGGAAGCATCAAGCGGGGTGCAACCTGCCCATTACAGGCTGTGCGGTGCAATCTATGGGCTGGGGCCCCGTGGGTATGTGTTGGGCCCCGTGGTCGGGGCTCAGAGGGTGGGGCCAGGAAGGGCTTATGAGGGGACCCGCTGGCCCACCGCCAGACCTGGCATCCACGCCCACTGGGACACCCCAGGACACAGAACCAACAGGACTACGCGCCCACCGCCCGAATTGGGGAACCAGGGGAAGCCCATGATAACCCCAATCGGAGCCCCTCGGTGCAAGCACTGCTTGGGGAACCAAGCGGAACCTAGAGTTCAAGCTGTTCAGACAGATGCGCGAGATTATGCAAAACTTCAACTCCCCGCTCGAATCCGCTCAAAATCGGTCGTCAGATCCACCATGGACAATATTGTGAAGGGCAAACCTGTGCTTTGCTGATTCGGACGTATGGTCGCATGGTGCCAGGGTCTCTCTTCCCAGACTCCCGACGTGGTGATTTTCTCACAGCGTGGATCCCCAGAACTCTGGACAACTTCCCGTGAGACCTGTTCTCCACACGCTTCTAGGGCCATGGCGAGGGGCCCCGCGGAACAGAGCAACTGCCAACCACCTCCTGTCTATATATTTATTTTGCCACGGCGCGAGATGATCTACAGTCCTCGTACTACCGTCAGGAGCGCATGCTAGGGAACGGATGGGCTTTTCTGGCCGCGGCGGGCCTGGGCCACAGATCCGAAAGGCTTTTTTGTTCTGATGCCACAAGGGCCACAGAAATCTGGGTCAGAGCGCACCCCCGGGGAGAGGTCTGGAGGGGCAGCGGCATCGGTACAGTAGGAGCTCGACCACAAGAGACCTTCTAGAAGAAGCCCAACCTGAGACCCCAGGACGTCCATCGATGTTTGGTGTGGGAGCGTCACGCTTCCCATAGCAAAACCATTGAAACCCAAGAAACCCAGGGCACCCTGGAGGCAAGCAGGGTGTTTCTTGGCATGGGCTTCCACTGCACCTCTTGGTTCCCCCCCACGCACGAGGCGCAAGACGTGCCATGAGCACACGCTTGCAGAGACCCGCGCGCAGTATCTCTCGTGTGTGCGCTGGCCACTTCCCCAGACGGGAGCAGAGGGGCGTTTCTGTGCCACGGCACAAATCTGGTGGGCGCATTGGATGAGGAACCCTTAGACAAGGAATCCAGGGTCTGAATGCCAGCGAGACTCCGATCGTGGATCGGCCATGGATACCACTGCCGCCCTCATCGGCTGAGGAAATCCCCCAGGGCCTGAAGCCTCCTGGGCCCCATTCCTGAACGGCTGCCCCCACCGCGAGAGGAACGGCCCGAACATCTGAGCCCCTCCCGAGCCCGAGGTTCGGCGGCGAGCGAGGGGGGGGAGGGGAAGCGAGACGGAGAAGGCGGTGGGGACTCCTCAGAAGAGGCCCTCGCGCCTCCCGGGAAGATTTTTTTCGTGCCTCCGGGGGAAGGCTCGGCAAACTCCCCAGAAGGCCGGGGGGGCCTCCGAACCCCCTGGGAAGGCCAGCCTCTGCTCACTGCCCCCCCCTTCGCTCGCCGCCGAAAGGTGGTCCTTATCTCGGCGTCTTGACCTGTAGGCTTCTCGGGCCGGACGAGAGGGACGGACGAAGGGGGATCGCAGAGAAGAAGGGGGTGGGAGTAGCGCATCCGCGGCGCGCCCTGCTGGCTTCCCCTCGGCGCCTCGAGGCCGTCGGGGGGGCGGCCGGGCATCCGGGAGGGTGCCGTGCGGCGGAGACGAGACCAGGCTTCTGCGCAGCAGTCTTCGTGCGAGGAGGAGGAGGTGGAGGAGGAGGACCAATGGTAAACTAAGACTCATCAGCGATGTTGGAATACACCCTTCCTCCAAACTCCCTCTTCACAAGCCCCTACAACGGTTCATTGCCACTGAAGGAGTTGCCCCCTTGGGGGAGAGCCGTGTAAGCATCTGGCAACCAAATTGTGAAGTTTTGGTGGAAAACACAGTTCTGGTACGCTAACCATGAAAAGGTGATGAAACGTTGGCAAGCTTGTATAACGAATGTGCGCGGGGCTAAGGCGAGAACCGCATTTTGAAAAAAAAGAACCGCCCTCAATCCGTGAAGCTCTTGCAAACTCTTAGGACGAATGTGCGCAGCGCTACGGCGAGAACCACATTTTGAAAACGAACCGCCCTCAATCCGTGAACATCTTGCATACTTGTAAAACGAATGTGCGCAGCGCTAGTGCGAGAGCCGTATTTTGAAAACGACTCGCCCTCCATCCGTACAGATCTTGCACATCTTGAAACGAATGTGCGCGGAACTCACGCGATGACTACATATTGAAAACCACCCACCCTCAATCCGTGAAGCTCTTGCAACGTTTCAAAACGAGTGTGCGCGACACTACGGCGAGAACAACATCTTGAAAACGACCCGCCCTCACTCCGTGAAGCTTTTGCAATCTTAAAAACGAATGTGCGTGGCACAAAGGCGAGAGCCGCATTTTGAACACCACCCGCCTGCTATCTGCGAAACTGTTGTCACGTTCGAAACTTCAGGGCCATAGCTGGTGAGGAAGCCTCAAGCGAAACGCACGGCCCACCCTTTCGACCGACCTCGGGTGCGACAGGGAGGAATTATTTATAAGGAAAGGATTGGGGGAGAAGGAGGAGGAGGAGGAGGAGGATGAGGATGAGGAGGAGGAGGAGGAGGAGGAGGAGGAGGAGACTGAGGAGGCGGAGGAGGAGAAGGATGTCGGTTTTCAGGGTTCCCTGGGGTGAGGAAGCACAGTGGTGGACGGAGGAAGGACATCGTCGGCTCAGTGGAGGAGCGGGGGGGGGGCCCCACCCCTCCCCCAACCCCGCTCCAACCCTTTCGTCCGCTTTGGGCGCCGCTTCGTGGGGGGAAGGGGGCGGGGGCAGGAAACGGGGGGGGGGGGGGGGCGAAGACACCTATGCCTTTCGGGCCCTCCGTGGGCCCCAGAGGTGCGCCAAAGGTACACCTGGTTCCCCCCAAAGTGATCGCCCCCCCCACCCACTCCGCGACGCCCGACCGCCCCGAGCTTCGGCATGGCCAAGCCGCCAAGGGCCTGTAGTCCACGGCGACGACCACCACGCCCGCGTCCGCCAGCCGCAGCGCGAGCTGCACGTTCCAGGCGCGGTAGCCTGTGCTCTTCCTCTACCGGGCTTTCCTCCCCTGCTTCATCCTCGCGCCGCCGATCGGGCTCCGAATCGCGCCGAATCGCCGATGCATCGGCGACGTGGTGCGATTTTTCCGACCCGTTCTCCCTGGCCGTGGAGGCATGGAAAGGGCGAGGCCATCCTAGGCCTGGAGAGGAGGTCGGCCTTCTTGGGCGCGCCGCCGATCAGTGCATGTACTACCCTTGGAAGGGCGCAACGTTCGCCCAGCTGGCAGAGCAAAACGGCACTTGCCATAGTGCTTCCTCACTGTAGATCGAAATACTACATCGGGCCACCTCCTCGCTCCTCCCTCCCCCGTCCTCCTCTTATCGTTTGCCCTCCTTTCTGGGAGAGGGGAGGGGAAGGGAAATAACGAGGCGGACCTGCATAGTTCAACGTCCACGCAACAGTACGGCCACGCCACGCTACTAACATGTAGCGCTGCTTCCTACACAACTCTCGCCCAAATACTTACACGTCGTTCATTTCTAAGCGCGCTCATTTCTAATTGTGCTCGTTTCTAATCATTCCTGGCCCCCTAGTGGCCAGGAAGAGGCCCAGGATAGAAGAATCAGAAATGAAAGGATCATGGCCCCCAGAAAATCCAAGAACTCGAACACTTCGAAATGAACACTGTGTAAGTGTTTGCACGTGTGAGACCGTGCCGGAGGCCCTGAATCCGGCCATGTTGGCAACTCGATTTCGTTGCCGCCGGCTTCCGCTGGCGGGCCCGCCACTGTCCCGCTTCCGCGGGCTCCCGCGGGCCCTCCGCCGAAGGCGAGGACCCGCCGACGGTGAGGCCCTTTCTAAAAGCCGCCATGTAGGATCGTAGATTATGAATATAAGTTTAGGTCGGGCATGTCCTCCTACAGGCGGATTCTGGAAGAAAAAAAATAATCCCGGCAAAGCAACCTAACAGCGATGTGTAGAAGCATAGCTGGAAACATTGCCTGTGGTATTCATGTAAGAGTGCTGTTGTAGAATTCTGGTGTTCTCGCAGTCGCAGTCGGATTCGCAGTGGCAGTCGCAGTGGCAACATCAGCGGCAGTCGCAGTGGCACTGCCAGTAGTTGTAGTAGCAATAGCTACACTAGCAGCAGCAACAGCAGCAGCAGCAGCAGTACTAGTAACAGTAGTAGTAGCAGTAGAAGTAGTAGTGATGGTAATAGTGGTAACAGTGAAGTAGTAGTTGTAGTGTGTGGAGTGAACGAGTAGGAGTGATGGGAGCAGTGGTAGTAGCAGTAGAAACACTGCTTTCGATAACGGTATCTCCAAATGAGATCTTTGTATAAATGCATTGAGGTCTAAACAAGACACTGCTATCAACGGATGTGATTCCAAACGAGACACTGCTATCAACGGGTTGAGCTTCAAACGACACACTTGAATCAATGAGTGTAATTCCAAAACAGGCACTCCCATGAATGGATTTAGTGTGCTTCAACTGGCGGCGGCGCTTCAGGACACTGTGAATGGATTAAGCGAGACAAGACCTCGGCGCTTCGGTATCCGGCCGAACTGCTTCACGTGCTCGACGAGCGTTTGCAAAGGACCGCTCAATGCAGCACGCTGAGGAGCAGCGCTGTTCCCTGCCGCAGGCTGAGGAGCACCGCTGTTCAATGCAGCAGGGTCAGGAACACCGCCGCCAGACCGAGAACTATCAGCATGTCCTGGCATTAAGGTGCGCAGTAGGCGCTGCGCAGTTCCTTTGAAAGGAAATCTTCGAAAGCAGGGCTGTAGCCAAGAAGGCTACGGGGACGATGATGATGATGAAGATGATGAGTCTTGGAATTCTGGGAAGTGGAAGAACACGAAGTGGCGTACAGTTGGCTCCGGGCATTCAAAATGTGGCCTGGGAGTCGAGTTCTGGGAAGTCGAAGAACACGAAATGGCCTACAGTTGGCTCCGGGCATTCAAAATGTGGCCCGGGAATGTGGCCCGGGAATGGCGTTCTGGGAAATCGAAGAACACGAAGTGGCCTACAGTTGGCTCCGGGCATCCAAAATGTGGCCCGGGAATGGAGTTCTGGGAAGTCGAAGAGCACGAAGTGGCCTACAGTTGGCTCCGGGCATCCAAAATGTGGCCCGGGAATGGAGTTCTGGGAAGTCGAAGAGCACGAAGTGGCCTACAGTTGGCTCCGGGCATTCAAAATGTGGCCCGGGAATGGAGTTCTGGGAGGTCGAAGAGCACGAAGTGTGTGACTGTTTGCTTAAAACGAGCCCGGCCCTCGCCTGTCCGGCTCCCGCCCAGACCCCCCTGGGGAGTCATCAGATGCTCTCTTTTGACCCCATTAGAAACCTATCAGTCTTCGCTGTTAGGTAAAAAGATGGTCAGCATCATACTCAAACATGGTCGAGTAATAGTCGAACCATCGTCCCCGCACTATTTTCAACTATCCTTGAAGATTCCTCCTGTAGAGGGGCATGCCCGACTTAAATGCAAGACCATATCTTATAAACATAATTGTTCAATAACGCATGGTGCTCATCGTTACAGTCAACAAGGATTATAAGGATGCGCGATAAGGATGCGAGGGCCTTGGACGCCCATTTCGAAGCTTTTCGAGCGGGGCGCGGCCAGCGAAAGCGGCGAAGGATGGACCGAGGAGGCAAGGACTCCAAGGGTACCCTTGGGAAAGTTGCCCATCCTTACTATCATGGGTGCCTGTATTCCTCTCTCGGCCGCACGTCTTATCCGATTCCCCCCCTCTTAGTCCTCAGAGGAAAGAGAAGGGGGGGGGGGGCGGCGGACAGGCACGGGGGGGAGGAGACGGCCGTGCAGAAATGAAAGAGAATGGCCTTGAAAGTCTGGCGCAACACTGCACTTTCCAGGCCATTCTCTTTCTCTGCACGTCCGCCTCCTCCGCCGTCGCTTTCCGAGCCATTCTCTTTCCGCACGTCCGCCTCCTCCCTTGAGCCTGCCCGCGGACTCCCCCCCTTTCCTCCGAGGAGCGAACGGGGGAATAGGCTAAAACGGACGGACGGGAAAGGAATGATGATGGGCACCATCTATTTTTGAACAACTATGTGCGTATGTATGTATGCATGCATGCATGCATGTATGTATGTATGTGTATATATATATGTATCGAAGAACTGCTCCGGCCAACCCTCCGACGAAACCCAAAACCAACACTCTGGCCAACCCCGGCCAACCCCTCTGGCCACCTCTGGTTAGGGTACTTAGTTCTTTCCACGATGCATCTACGGCCGCGTCCATTCTGTAGCGTTGCCGACTTGCGGCACCCACACACCCGTGATGGCTGGCATGTCGTGTGACCCCTCGCAGGAACCCTCGGGGAGAGCCCTCTGGAGCCAACGGGAGCCCAATGGCGCTGATATGCCCACGTTTTGCCCCGTGGCCCAGTGGGGCTGTGCGACCCGTGTTGGCATTGGCCGCCGCTCCAAGACAGGGCCCCTGTGACGCGAACCAACTGGACGGCGGCATATATCGCATGCGAGAAAGGGAACGAGAGAGGGGTGCGGCTTCGTTCGACCCCGCGCGCCTATCACCCAGGCGCCGCCCATGACGGCCACGACCACGGGCAGCCCCTTTCCAGGGGGCGTCCACCATTGTCCGTGGAAAGAAGAAGCCCCACGAAGATTGAGGACGTAACTGTGTCGAACCAAACCGAAGCTCCAGGACATCCGCAAACAAGAAGAACATGCAGGACGGGAATCATGTCATGATGCGAATAGCTCAAGACTCGTTCCAGAGATTCCGGAATATCTGGCGGCCCTCGTTTCTTCAGTCCGCGTGGAGCATCAAATAATCTTCGACATCCTGGAAACCCTTGAACGTCTCATTGTCATGACCTCCCTTGCCCCTCTGAAAACGAAGTAAACCAACGGGAAACGCAAGCCGCACGATCCGGCCGAATCGGTCGAATCAACTAGACGAAGATGTCTACACATCGCCGTTCGTTTTCGAACATCGTTCGGAACCGGGGCACCCGTGCGTACCTCACCACTCGACGTGCATTCTTCGGCCTTTCGTTTCGGCATTCGTGTGGCATCTACATCCTGACGCTTACTCGTGAACATGTTCTGAAACCGTGGGCGGGTCCATCTCGGTCGGCGCTCGCCATCTCATCCTTGGGCACTCTTTCAACGCCCGTACGAAACTCACATGTCGACACCCATTCTCTACCATCCTTCGAACTCGTGGACGGCAATGCCGCGTCGCTCGACATCACATACCTAAGCGTTCGTTCGGCGTTCACAAGAAATCCATGCCACGACACTCATCGTCTGACATACTTTGGAACCGTGGACGGCCCAGCCACCCCGCTCGACATTTTATCCTTAGGCGCCCGTTCGAGGGCCGTCCGACATGAGTGTGAGACTTCGGCAGCTGCACGCGTCTGCTCGCAGGGCAGCTGCCCGCAGACCACGCGGACCCCCTCGCCGCCCTGGGGGCTTCCTGCTTCCGTCCGTCCGCGAGCAGCCACTCTGCGGATAGCCCAGACCCCCGACTCCGCGTTTTTTCCGCATCCACGAGCCGCCTTTGGACGGCCCTTGGTGAAGGGGAACTGGGACACACAAATAAATACACACAAATAAAAATACCCCCCCATATTTTCCCATATTTTCTGGGTTTTTGCCTTCCCCCCACTTCCCATATTTTCCCATATTTTCCTGGAAGTCGACGATTAATTGTGTCTGTGTGTTTTTTCCCTCCTGACAGACCCCCGACTCCGCGTCTTTTTCCGCATCCACGAGCCGCCTTTGGACGGCCCCTTGGGGCCCAGGAAGCGCCCCCCCGCCGAGGCCGAGAGTTTCGCTCACATACCTTCTGTCGGTGGCCTCTCTCGGGACGCGAGCGGGCCTGGGCCTGGCGCACGGCCGCAGCCTGCAGTCGCTCGAAGATGGACAGAGCTCCCGTCTGGCAAGACGCCCTCTCGCGAGAGCTGCCGGGAACGCTTCACGGCTGCGCGCGGCACCGCACTCTGGGCGCCCGCAGGCGGAAGGGCTGATCGACGTCCAAGACCTGCCGCACGTATCCTGCGAGACGCCCGTCGATTGGCGAGGCCGACGTGGAAACCGCACTTGGTACACCACGAGGGTTATGTTGCTCTCATCATACTCAAGGACCACATGCCAGAAACAATTTCGAGCACCCAAAAAAGTATCGAAACAGTGTCGAACGAGTGTGTCCCAGGGCCCGACACGTGAAAACCCTCGAGTTTCGGCACTTTCTTGGTGCTCGAACTTTTTCCGGTGCTCAAGGCGAAAGTAGGCTGGAACATCCTACAATGAGGTCCAATGCCGAGCGAGCCGGCGCAGCATTCCACAACCGACTTGCCTGGGCGGCCGCTCCCTCGGTGCCAAGCGCCGTGGGCGCCCCCGCCGTGCCGCGCCCGCCGCCCCCCCTCGCCGCGTGCGCCGCCGGGACGTAGACGTCCACGAAGCTCCGCGGGCCGCTGCCGCACCGGACGCCGCGGATGATGCGCGGGTCGCGCAGGTACATGACGCCAAACCTCGGCTGCGCGCACAAAGGGGCAGGGGGAGGGGGGGAGGCTTCTCAGAAGGAGGCTGCTTCTTAGGAAGCGCCGGCCTTACCGCTCTCTCTAGGAGGCGCTTGCCTTGCATCTATAGATGAAGCCATCGCCTGCTGAGAAGCAGCTTCCTTCTGCCGTCGGACCTAGGATATTATAACATCCTTGAAGAACACGAGACCCTCCGCTGGCCCAAACACCTCAAACCATATGCAAGATCACTCGAGGGTGCCCTCCCCCAGGATGCTCAAGAACATCCAACAAACACGAAGAGCATGAGGGCACCTTCAAGCGCCTCGATCTTATATCTCGGTCCGACCGTAAGAAGCCTCACCCCCTCCTCCGTGCCCGTTTGGCGCGTGGCCGAACACCGCGCGAGCCAGGGGCTCAGCAGGGCCACCCAGCACGCCATCTTCGCCGCGTCCACGGCCAGGGAGACGAGACAGCGCCTCGGGCGTGCCGCCCAGCGGTCCTCAGCCTCGCTCCCCTGCCTCCATCCGTGAAGCTCTTGCAAGCTTTGAGAACGAAAGTGCGCGGCGCTAAGGCGAGAGCCACACTTTGAAAACTGCCCGCCCTCCATCCGTGAAGCTCCTTCAAATTCTCAACTTAAGAACCATCAGCGGTGAGGAAGTCTCAGGCAAAACGGCCGGCCCGCCCTGCCGACACCTCTCGGGGTGCGACAGGTAGCTATTTATGAAGAAAATGAGAAGCAAGAGGAGGAGAGGCACGAAGACGACGGCGGCGGCGGCATCGACGCCGACGACGGCGGCGGCCGACGACGACGGCGGCGGCGAAGACGACGCCGACGACGACGGCGGCGGCGAAGACGACGCTGACGACGACGACGACACCGAACGACGGCGACGACGACTGCCGACGGCGGCAGAGCGCAGCCGCGGGCGGCCCCTCTGAGGGGCGGCGCACGGCCGCCGCGGCGGGGGGCCGCGGCGACGGCGGGGCGGGCCCCCCGCGGCAGGCCGCTCGCGGCAGGCCCCACGGCGCGGCCTCCACCGGCGACGACCGGCGGAGGACGCCGACGCCGACAACGACGACGACGGCGACGGACGACGACGACGGACGACGACGGCAACCGACGACGACGATGACGACGACGGACGACGACGACTACCGACCGACGACGACGACAACCGACGGACGACGACGACGACGACGACGGACGACGACAGACGACCGACGACGACGCCTGACGACGACAGACCACCGACGACGACGCCTGACGACGACAGACGACCGAAAACGAGGTCTGACGACGACCGACGACGGACGACGGCCGTCGACGCCGTGGCCGTGGGTAGTCCGTCGTCCGACGTCGTCGTCGCGGTCGCGGGCGGCGTTGTCCGTCGCCTCTGCCCTCACCGTCGTCGTCGTCGTCGTCGTCGTCGTCGTCGTTGGTAGTGGTCGTCGTCCGCGTCGTCCGTGGTCCGTCGTGGTCGTCCGTCATCCGTCGTCCGTCGTCGTCGTCCGTCGTCCGTCGTCCGAGGTCGTTGTCGTCGTCGTCCTCGTCGTTGTCGTCGTCGTCGCCGCCGTCGTCGTCGTCGTCGTCGTCGTCGTCGTCGTCGTCGTCGTCGTCCGTCGTCCGTCGTCCGTCGTCCGTCGTCCGTCGTCCGTCGTCCGTCGTCCGTCGTCCGTGTGCGTCGTCGTCGTCATCGTCGTCGCCGCCGCCGCCGCCGTCATCGTCGTCGTCGGCGGCGGCGGCGGTGACGACTTCGCTCCGTGTCGGAAACGACTCCTGGGCTCTTTTGGGAGATATTCTCGCTCTCACGGCTGGGCGCGGCTCCAAGAAATGGCCAATGACCTACACCGGGGTACGTCTGGGGATCGCTCTGAATGGATTTCCCAATGACGTCAGGCGGCTTGACAAAACCCTGGCAGAGATCGACCTCTGCATTTTTGGGGCCCCCGGGGCCGTCAAAGCTCACGAGCGGCGAACGCTTCCATATCCACGCCCTCGCGGTCTGGATTCCGGGGCGCGATGCCGCGGATACGCGGCCGAATGGATACCCTACGCGCTGGGCATCCGCGAGGAGCGCCCCTTGCCGGCGGGGTCGCGGCCCATGGGGCCCAGCCTGCGAAGCCGTGGGCGCGGACATCTATCCTGCCCGAGAGCAGGAACGATCCCCAGGGAAGCACCAGAGCCCTGGATCTGGTGAATCGGGCGTGGTTCGGGCTGTCTTGGGACCTGGGTCGTTCCGCGAGGGCGTCTCGAGATCGCCCGGGGCCTCCCGCTTCCCCATAGGGGATTCGTGGCTGCAGCCCGACGCCCTCGGAATTCGGCAGCTTCCCGCGGTCCTTGGCGGTCCTCGGAGACTCTTCCGAAGCTGTTCGAAAGTCTCCGCAAGTGCGCCGAGGCTCTCGGAGGCTTTTCGAAGGTTTTCGAGAACTTTCTGGAAGCCATCTGAAGACTGCCAGAGGACGCTGATGTCCAGACGCCGTAAAACGCATGTCGGCGGCGGGCGAGGGGGGGAAGTGACAAGGGGCGGGCCTCTTCAGAAGGCTCGGAAGTCCCCAAGCCTTCTGAGAAGCTTCCTGAGCCTTCCCCGAAGGCGCAGAGAACTTCTCATAAGGCACGAGGGCTTCTGAGAAGTCCCGCCGCCTTCTGAGAAAGCCTTCATCTTCTCACTTCCCCCCTCGCTCGCCGCCGAGCATGCACATGCGCGCCAAGGGCTTTTCCGACCCGGCTCGGGCCCAGAGGCTCTCACGGGTCGACCCGGCTCGCGCGACGGTGGGGCCGAGAGTGTCTGCCTGAGGCTCCCCCTCCCCCTCGCCTCTCTCGTCCCCTCCTCCCCCGCTCCGCTTCCCTCGCCTCTCGCGAAGCCTCCTCAGGAGAGGGCGGGCACGGCGTGAGCCCGGCATGCACAGCTCGGAGATCTCCGAAAGCTGGCGGGCCAGGATGCATCGGAGGTCGCCGCAGGAGATCCTGGCCCAAGGTGCCCCGTGCTTTTCGTGCCAGCTTGGAGCCGTCGGGGTCCTCTGGGCCTCACGAGGGTCATCTTGGACCAGGGCCGCCTCTGGCAGCGCCCGAATGCATGGGATGCCGCGCCGCTCCAGCGTCGGGGATGAACAGACCTCCCTTTAGTCAAAACGTGGTTTCGTGAAAACGACCTGAGGCCCAAACCTGGCGGGCGCAAGCCTGGAAAATAACGGCCACGGCGCCATCTCGCGAACCGAAAACGGACAATTCACTAATCGACGTGTCACTATTGGGGGTTCTGTCCACCCCCGACAGTACTCTGGAGCAGAATCACTCGTTCGTTTGTTGAGGCCGCGCCCCTCCGACACAAACATGTCGCGCCGCTTGAGGCAAACCATTCGACCCTCGGGTCCCGCGCTGGAAGGTTGGAAGCCAGGAGGAGGAGGAGGAGGAGGAGGAGGAGGAGGAGGAGGAGGAGGAGGAGGAGGAGGAGGAGGAGGAGGAGGAGGAGGAGGAGGAGGGAGGAGGAGGAGGAGGAGGAGGAGGAGGAGGGGGAGGAGGGAGGAGGAGGAGGAGGAGGAGGAGGAGGAGGAGGCCCCACAGCAGGACTGCGCGGCGGCCTCGACATCCCGAGAGGCCCCACCTCGTGGGCTTGTCACCGCACGGCCTTGGGACCGACCTCGGGGGCCCTGGCCGCCCAGGACGTCCTGGGAGAACGGCCCGGGTCCCTCCTCCTCCTCCTCCTCCTCCTCCTCCTCCTCCTCCCTCCTCCCTCCTCCTCCTCCTCCTCCTCCTCCTCCTCCTCCTCCTCCTCCTCCCTCTTCCTCCTGCAGACGCCGTGGAAGGACCCCGAATCCCCTCTGACTCACCGCGCGGTGCGGTCACCACACCGTCAGGAGAGCCCAGAATCGAATCGATGAGTCGGATCGGCGATCGACATGAATCGGATCGGCGGAAATCGGCAGCCGAGTCGGGAAAAGTCGAGTCGGCAGGAATCGGCAGGCTAGTATACCTCAAATAACGAATCGAAACCCGAATCGAAATCCCAGGTCGAATCGAATCGGAATCGGAAGCCATCGACATCGAACCGAATCGAATCGGAGGCCGACGCCGCGCGCCTCCGACATCTCGAGGCGGGGGCCGAGAAGCGGCGAGATCAGAGGCCTCGGGAAGAGCGGCGGAGGGAGTCGTGCGCATGGGTCCGGCGGGCCTCGTGGGTCTGCTCTGGCAGCCCTACGCGGGTGCTTCTCGTGGCCGCGTCGAAGCTGAGTCGGGACACCCTCGGGGCTCTCTTGGGCATCCTGCGGCCCCTGAAGCCATCATGGTGTTGCTTGCAGACCTGGAGAGAGCTGTGTACGCCGACGCTACTTGTTGGCCTGTCCGATATGTGACGGGCCACCAAGCCCCTCCTGGGGCACTCTTGGGCCTCTCTTGGGGGCCTGTGGACGCCGTCTTGGTCAATCGAAGAGCCCTGCGGGAGCGGAAGAAGGAGAACGTACGTGTCACCCCTCGCTCCTACTCCTCGTATCTTGAAAGATTTGGGCCTCTAGAGGGCTTTCGTGCTTTCTTGGGCCCGGGGGGCCTCTTGGGGGCCTCTTTGAGGCCTTGGGGGCCCCTGGCCTTCTTGGGCCTAGCGTGGCATCAAATTACGGATCGTCCTGTGCGCTTTTTCGCAATCTGGGGCCCTCACGTGGTCCTTTCTGGAGCCCTCTTGGGGCTCTGTTGGGGCCATCTTGGCGGGCGCTGGGGCCGTCTTGGACCTCCTGCTGGGCTCACCTTGGGGCTCTCTTAGCCCGTCTTGAGGCCTCAATAGCTCATCGGGAGCAAACTTGTGAAAAGGCAAGACACACACAGCTACTTACCTTAAGCTGGTGAGCGATTTTGGCCTCTCGTGGACCCTTTGGGGGCGCCTTGGGGCCATCTTGGACCGACCTGGAGGCTGTCGTGGCGTGTCTTTGAAGAGAGGAAAACGTACATACACCTATACTTTTGAAGGTCCGCGCCTATTTCTTAGATCTGCGCTGACACCCCTTCCCTGGCGCGTGAATCGCGCCAAGGGCGGCCCCGGAGGCGCCGCCAGGGGGTCCATCGCAGATCCAAGATATCTGCGCGGAAGTCTGACAATTCATGTTTGTGTAATTTTTCTGCTTCGAGTCTCGTCAAGCATTTCTTTATTTCGTCCTGTCTCGTCTTGTCTCGTCGTGTCCGGTCGTGTCGGGCCGTCCTGGAGGCACGGGCACGCTGGTCCCATGACTGGGCGCTGACTTGAGGGGCCCGCCTGTCTTGCTAGGGGAACTCTCTGCCGCAGGTCTGGAGGATGGGGAGCTGTCGCGACCACGAGAGCGTCCAAGATGGCCCAACATGGCCTCGTACAGCCCGAGATGGCCTCCGAGATGGCACAGTCTAGATCATTCTGGCTCTCAGTGTGTCTCCTACCTCCAGGACGCCCAACCAGGACGGCCGCACGAGGGCTCAAAATGGGCACGGAGCCGTGCAGCGATGCCTCACAAATAGTCTACTGTCTCTCCGCAACAACATAACAACATATTCTCCAAATCTTGGCGGCGCGCAGAAGGGATAGGGGGAGGGGGGAAGGCTTCTTAGAAGGAAGCTGCTTCTTGGAAGGCGTCGGCCTTACATCTAAACAGAAGACCCGCAACTTCTCAGAAGCAAGGGTGCTTCTAAGCTGAGCTGCCCCGATACGCAACACGCAACACGTAGCGTATTGATACGGAGCTCAACACGTCGACTGAACACGTACGTTTTGAACACGGACGTTATGAACACGGCACGTGATACGTTTCAAAACGTGCGTATCAGAGCAGCTAAGCTTCTAAGAAGCCCTCCCCATTTCCCCTACCCCCTTCTGCGCGTGGCCGAAAATCCGCCGACCCTGTCGCCGTGTGGGACACGCTCTTCCGTTCGTCATCGTTGCCGACACCGTTCCCATCTTTTCCCCTCGGCTCCCTCAAGCGCGCCAGCCAAACCGAAATGAAATGAAACAGCAACTTCGTACTTGCTTGAATCAGGAAGGGAAGCCCCTTCCAACTGATCCCTTCCTCGCCAGGGGGGGGGGTCCGGGGTCCCCAGGGGGTCCCGGGAGGGTCGCCGGGGGTCCCGGTGCGGGTCCCAGGGTGGACCCGGGGCCAGGTCAGCATGCCACCCCCGCTGGGCGGCCCCCGCTGTGGAGAAGGGGGGGCGGCCTCCGCATCTCTGTCCCTGGCCCTGGCCCCCGCCTCTCTGTCCCGGCTCTCGGCCCCCTGCAGCCCGGGCCCCCGCCCTGGCGCTGGCCCCAGCGCTGGCACCGGCCCCGGCTCCAGCCCTGGCTCCGGGCCCTGGCCGGGGCCCTCGACCTGGGCCTCGGCCCCTGCAGGCCTGGCCTCGATCCCCGCTCCAGCCCAGGCCCTGGCCCCGGCAGGCCCCGGCCACAGCCCCAGCCGCAGCCCCAACAGAGCCCAAGAGGCCCCCAAGAAAGCCCCAAGAAGGGCTCCAGGGCATCAGCGGCGTCGACGTCGCTGCCGCCGCCGTCGTCGTCGGCGTTCCCCTTCAGGGTCAGCGGCATCGGCCGTACGGCCTTCCCAATAGGCTTGCCCATAGGAGTCTCAGCTCAATCCGTAGAGAACTGGTCCACTGTTCCCCTACTTGACCCTGGCTATCGTCAACCCATCCGCACGGCTTCCTCTGTATTTGCATTGCTTCCTCTGCTGGCTTCCTCCTATTGGTACGGCTTCCTCCTATCCGCATGGCTTCCTCCTGTCCGCATGGCCTCCTCCCATCCGCACGGCTTCATCCTATCGGTGTGTCGATTCCAATGGCGCCCAGGCAATCGTCCAACATGTCATACGTAGAGCATAATAGGGTCGAGTATAGCATAACACATACAGTAGAGAAGAGTAGGCGAGCATAGCCGTGCAATTTTCATCTTCAAATCGACGTATACAACATAGAAGAGAGTAGAGTAGAGCAGTGCAATAACGTGGATATGAGTATAATCGGTTCGGGTATGTTCAGATAGAGTAGGGTTGAGTAGAACATGTGAGTGTAGATGGTCGGGTAGAGTCGGGTATCATAGCGTATGTAAGAACAGAGTATGTACGATAGCCGTAGGTTAGGGAGATGTGTATTAGAGCAGCGTGTACTAGATAGTGAGGCAAATGGTCGACTAGAGTCGGGTATACTATAACATAGTCGAGTAGGGAAGAGCAGATAATGCTAAAGTAGAGTCAATGTAGGGTACCATCGGAGTCGAGTACATAATATCATGAGCAGAGTAGAGTAGGCTAGAATAGGTAAGGGTAGAGTCGACCAGAGTAGACTAGAAGGGTGTAAGGTAGATGGTCGAGTAGAGTCGGGTCTAATGGAGTCGAGCAGAGTCGAGTGGAATACAATCGGGTAGAGTAGGGTGAGAAGGATAGCAGAGCGGAGTAGGACATCTGGTTAGAGTTGAATAAAGTAGAAGTAGAATAGAGCAGGGTATGAGTAGAGTAACACAGAGCAGGGAAACGTACTCCAGCCTTCTGGTCTATTGGGAGTCTGTGCTAGCTGACATGTTCAGCTGATGTCTGCTT